ACAGAAGCTGCAAGGATGAGAGCCATCAGACTGGATCAGTTTGAGGAACATGTCCGACAGATGCACGAGGACAGAGACAAAGGATTTGAGCAGGAATACCTGGTGAGTCCTCCTCCCTCTCCCTCCCCCTCTCCCTCCCCTCTAACTTGCTCTGTGGTTCCCGTGCAGACCATTCAGTACTGAGCCCACGGCAGTCCACGCCGCCGCCAAGGATCCTAAGAACAAGAACAAAAACAGATTTGCCAACATCTTCCCCTGTAAGCCTTCTAACTCTCATACTTGTTGTGATCGAGTTTAATCCACTATTAATTTGTGCTGATGTCAACTTAATTTTAAGAATTCCACAACATTTTGGCCAAAATACCCAAAAAAGTGTCGTCTTTCCCCCACGTTAACTGATGCGTCTGGTGATCTGTCTCCACAGACGACTCAACAGAGTTCCTCTGCAGCTTGTGGATGGTGCTGAAGGCTCAGACTATATCAACGCATCGTTGTCCACGTAAGTGATTTAATTAACACTCTCCCCTTGTTAATCAATGGGGAATGAAGAGACATGCATGTTATTAGCTCCATTTTCCCTCCCCACAAGGGGTACCAGTAGGAGCAATGCCTACATCGCAGATCAGGGGCCCATGTCAGGAACCATTCTGGATTCTGGAGAATGATCTGGGAGCACCGACCTGGAAGTATCGTCATGCTCACCAAACTAGTGGAGGGAGGAAAAGTGAGTTTGCCTCTCTCTTCTCTTCTCTAACTCTTTCTTAACCTCTTCCTGTGATAATCAGCAACATGTGGTTGCATACAAAGTCAATATTCTAGCCCATAGTACTGCGTGAGAGATTGGTAAATGAAGTTTCGAAATCTTACTTTTGGAAGTCTCTGTCCGCCGCTCCCAAATAGCTAATGACTCTCTCCCACACAAACTTTATTTCTTCCCTCTCTCTTCATTTGCTGGCTTGGCTATGAAGTGAACGGTGGAATCTGCCAGTCCATTATCTCATTATTACTGCCAGTCTACCAGAGGGAGGGAGAGCCAACCTAGTTTGCACTACCATCCCATATCCCCATACATTTTGTATCCAGCACAAATTCCCTGTGGTTTATATGGTCGCAATTGTACAGACATCAAGCTGGCACACAATGTGGGAAAATTGCTATGTAGTTATCAGAAATGGCCACCAAGTTCAACAAATAGTTAGCAACTGGCCAGTGGTTGAAGGCCGCTCCATTCCCTCCATGTCTGCACTAGATCTCAGTCACAGAGTATGGATTAACAATGCAGGGAGAGATCTATAGGATTGGCCCAATCATTACCTAAACTAAGCGTAGAAAGCACTTTTCCATAAATGTTACTTGACTGTGTGTTGTTTGATGTGCAGAGGAAGTGTGAGCTCTACTGGCCTGAGAAGGTGGGAGACACGTTCAAAGCCGGCTGTGGAATCCACGTCCAGTACAAGGAAGTCGTTCCGTTTGCTGACTTTGAGATCAAGAAATTCATAGTCACCAATGTGAGTCCACAACTAACTGACTTGTGGCCTAGTGTGCAGAACTGATGTGTGCTCCTCTCTTCTTCTCTTTCTGTACAAACCCAAGTTCGACCAAGTCAGATATAGGCTCATGCTATTGACCATCAACAATACTGTATATCTGCAGTGTTAATGCAGTGATTGGTCTTTCTCTGTGTGTAGGATCAGAAACCAAAGGTGCCAGCTCTAGAGGTGCAGCACTTCCAGTTCCTCAGCTGGCCAGATCACGGAGTGCCCAAGTTTTCCACTGCACTCATCTCCTTCATCCGTCGTCTGAGGCAGTACCACAACCCTCAGTCTGCCATGTTGGTCCACTGCAGTGCAGGGGTGGGCCGGACCGGGGCCTTCATCCTCCTGGACTCCATGTTGGAGAAGATTGCCTCCGAGAGCAGCGTGAACGTCTACGAGTGCCTGACGAAAATGAGGCAGCAGAGGATCCATCTTGTCCAGACCCTGGTCTGTTGGAGAGGGAAGAGAGGGGGTAGAAGAGTGAGTGTGTCATGGGAGAGTAGGTGGTGTGTTTGTTTTGTGATGGCTGTTTATCAATTCTTGTTTTCATTGGACATTCCTCGAATCTATTCACCCGACAAAGTATCTATACACCTTCTGTCTCTCTTATTTGCTAACACACACTCACACAGGTGCAGTACGTGTTCATCCACGATGCTCTGGTTGAACTGGTCACATGTGGAGATACCTCAGTCCCGGCCAAAGCGCTGAGGGGGCACATCAAGAAGATGGTCCGGAACATTCCTGGGGGAGATGTGTCTGGCTTCACTGCCCAGTTCAGAGTAAGACACTGACCTCATCTGTACACATCAGCCAATGAGAGTGTTGTGTTGGTGGAATCTGTGATTATTGACACCTGAACTTCCGTGTCCACAGCTGTTGGCTAGAGTGAGCCGCAAGCCTTCAGACAGTGACAACTCTGAAGGTCTCGCTCCCCACAACAAGGACAAGAACCGCTATCCTGGCCGCATTCCTTGTGAGCTCCACCCCCTTTCCCTCCCTCTTCCCCCTCTACACTTTCAACAAAACCTCTCCCTATTCCCCTCCATGAGTGTGTGTGTGTGTTTCCACAGAGCACTATACACACCACCTACACATGACAGTTGCTATAGTAAGGCTACTAGGGTCTCTTTCACTATTGCCACACTGCAGATAACATGAACAGAGTCCGCCTCAAGCCCACCGGAGTCTCTGGGGCAGAGTACATCAACGCCAGCTTCCTCGATGTGAGTCAATTCGGGATGACCCATTGCCCGATTGGACACCAAGCCATTTATGTAGGGGTACAAGCAGAAGAATGCGTACATGGCAGCCCAGGCCCCTGTGGCAGCTACAGTGAACGACTTTTGGAGAATGGTGTGGGAGTTCAAGAGCAGAGCTGTAGTCATGCTGTGCCAACTGGAGGAAAATGGGCAGGTATGCAGTTCCTTGTGGCCCTTGTGGCTGTTTATAGAGAGTGTAGTTGTCAGCACTCCAGTAAGGATGTGAGTGCCAACTGTGGTGCATAGCATAGTACACTATCAGCCTCTTTTGGAGTGGCAGTCTCACTCATTTCCTGCCACCCACTTTCCCCCTTTCTCACCTTCTCTCTTTCTCTCTCCTCTTCCTCCCCCTACAGGAGATGAGTCATCAGTACTGGCCCACTCAGCTCAAAGCCAAGCAGCTCTATGGCAAGAACTCTGTGACTCTGATATCTGAGGAACACCCATTTGGAGCTAAAGAAATTGTAGTCCGCAAGTTTGAAATCACTGATGAGAAGGTACATGTGTGCAGTAGGTCACCCAGCATGCAGGCTGGGGAGAGTGTTTGTGTGGGCATTAGGGAGGGGGCAGGGTGCAGTTGAAGCAACTGCTGTGCTGGTTTATCTGTGTACACACACTGCCTTTCCTGCCGCTGTGACAGCTACAATACCTTTCACTATGTGGCTTGGTATGTGGGAGGGTAGTCCCTTGGGAGAGGGTGCAACTAATGGAAACACTTCTCCATAGCCCTGTCTTGACTGTCCCCCGCCGAGAATAGCAAACAGTTCCCCACTCTTCATCTTTCTCTCATTACTCCCCCCCTCTCTAGAACACAGCAGTGTTCACAGTAACGCAGTACCATGTCCTGTGTTGGGCAGAGGAAGGTAAGATGGCGGCTGGACTCCTGCTGCAGATGATCTCAGACCTCAACAAACTCCAGAGGAACACTGAGAACAAACCCATCACTGTCGTCTGCAAGTATGTCTCCCTCTGTTTACCACCATTGCACTCCCCCTAACCCCCTCCCCTCTCTGTAGTGATGGTATGGGAAGAACTGGAGCATTCATCTGTGTCCATGCTATGTTGGACAGAGTCAACTCTGAACACATCCTCGATTTCTTCCAGTTTGTCAAGTCCTCCCGCATCAACCGACCTGACATCATTAGAGAGGAGGTATATATTGTATGATGTCATCTTTTTCTACAATGATGTAATCATAATTGTCCCCTCTCTCTGACAGGAGCACTATGTAATGTGTCATGAAGCAGTGGCTGAGTATCTGGATAGTTTCCAAACCTACGCAAACTTCACCTGAACTGGAGTCACATGATAAACTCATGACTGTCATGTGACATTAGGACACCACTAATTTTTTAGTTGTTATGTGTATTTTTGGTTGTGTGAAATAATATTTTTTACTTTAGCAAAGACTGTACTAAGTGTGTATAATACTATACAGATTATATCATCTTATTGCTGTGCTGTTATTTCAGTTGTGCTTCACACGTACATGTATATATACAGAATATGAAATAAGCGCATGTGCGCGCAGTGAAATAGCTACATACACGCACGCGTACGCAGCAAGGAGGGTGCAGCTTTCTCCGGTGCCAAAGCTTCTGCTGATGAACGTGAGTCTACAAGATAGGTTGCATGCACCTCCTGGACTGGGAAGATAGAGAGTATAAATCACCACTGGATTGCCGCGGCGATGGCGTGCTGTCAGTGTTTAGTCTATGGGTCGTTGAGTAAGCCAGCTTGTTGGTGTTCGCTAACTTGCCCTGCTGACTGAAAGGGTTGTGTCTGCATGATATGCGTGGAGTTGCTGGCTGGAGATGCATCTCCTAACGATCAGTGGTATTAGTAATAGCTACGTACAATTGTTGTGCTATAATTATTACAAGAGGAATGGAGGGTCAAAGGTGACTACATGCCTTGCTCTGATCCGCACACACACATACACTCAACCGAAGACTCTCCTCTACCAACAATTTGTATGTTTGAATGGAGATCACATATGATAGTCACACGTTATAGATTCAGTGTGACGTGTACGACGTTAAAGCATTTCTTACCCTGCAGTGGTCAATATGAGAGGTTACTTATTGTTCTGCTCGTCTCTGGTGGAGGTCACACTCTCAGACCTTTCCTTATGTCTCCTTCATGAGCGCAGCTGGCCAACCATTCCTATGTGTAACATCAAGTCTAGTGAATGGCTGACAGTGGTAGTGACAGTGTCGAGAGTGTGAGACTGACCTGGACACATGTTGTACTGTTACTGATGGTGCTCATCGTGGAAGACTGGTATTGTCCTAATGGAACTAGACTGCCATTCTGCTCAATGTGCTGGTGATATCTATGAACAACGTGGAGCTCAGAGAGTTGATCTGCGTCGTAGGAACAATGCTAACTCACCAACTGGTATCTATCGCTGTGATATTCCAACTGATGCTGTCCATGATGATACTGACAACTCAGTGAGAGACTCACCAGTATATATAGGACTGTATACTGGTACTACTACTGGAGGTGAGTGTAATTGTAGGCAAGTTATTTGCCTCCAGCATTAATCATCCTCATGCAGCAAGTTTCACTATGTTTTCTCCGTGTACCACTCACTTGCCTCCAATTTTTCGTTTGCTGTGCCTTCTTGAGCACTTTCTTTTGATGGGTTGCCCATCAATCGTGTAGGATTCCTATAAAAGCCCAATAGCACTGTGGCTCCATTGTATTTGACAGGTGACATCTCAATATCTGGAGGAGTGACATTTGACCCTAGCCAGCTGACCCTCACCTGTATCTCCACTGGTGGACCTGCTACCACTGTCACTTGGACCAGAGACTCCACCACTGTCACCCAAGGAACTGAGACTGTGTTGAATGACCCAGTGACTGCACAGTACACCCACACTCTGAATGTGACTGGGAGACTACCTGGACTATACAAGTGTACTGTGGCTAATAACAAGCCATCCTCTGTTTCTGCAAGTGTCACTCTACAAGGTTAATATTGGAAGCAGTGTAATGAGAAATTTAGGTCTCCTGTGCCTTCACCATTTCGAAGGGGAGAAAAACAGTCTGATAGTTTGAGTGGGATATGCAGAGATGCTGAATTTTGTAAGAAGCTGCAAATGCGGTTATGTGAAGTCCTTTAGTTTCAATGGCTAATTGGCTGCGCTTACTTTCCTTCCCACAGATTATATATACCTCACATAAACTATCAGGCAATTTCCCTGGTTGAGAATTGTCTAAGTACATAATTTTCAAGTATAAAAGTCGTAGGAAAATTATTTTAATCTATATGTGTGTGCACCAGGCGAATTTTACCTTAACAATTAAAATTTATATTGTTTCCGTGCAGTTGCTTCACCACCAACTAATGTGACAGTAGTCCAAGGCGGTCCCACCAGTATCACAGTTGGGTGGACTCCTTCTGTCAATGCCACTGGCTACACGATCCACTACGACTGTAGTGGAGGTCACAGTGGTAATGTGAGCATTGATGGTGGCTCTACTAGTAGCTACACTCTGGAGAATCTTCAGAATGGAGAGACCTACGCCATATCCATTGTAGCCACATTAAACTTTCCCAGTGACCCTGTTACTGCCCAACCTGCTGTACATCTAGGTAAGTAACAGTGTTGATGTTGGTCCAGTTTTTAAACGTTTTTCTTACAGTTCCTGGAAAGCCAGCCGTCGTCAGTGGGCCATCAACCGACACCTCCATCCCCCTCTCATGGAGTGTTCCCGGTGGCTCGGTGGTGACCAGCTACCAGCTGGAGTGGTCCTATGACAAGTGTTCTCAAGATCCAGTAGAGAAACAGTACTACCATCAGCACTAGCTCCACCGTGTACAATCTCACCTTGTCAGATCTGAGACCAGGCACAAACTATACCATCTCTGTGTCGGCCAGCAATTCAGTTGGAGAATCGAGCCGCGAAACAGTCTTCGTGGATACTAAGGAAGCTAGTAAGTCTTATGCAATTGTGCACCTAAACAAGTATTCACATGGTGTCCCAAAAATGTGTGTGCGTCTTCTCTTGTGTATCCAAGGAGACGTTGCTTATTGGAGTGTTTTCACCTATATGGCTGCTCTTGTTGCCTTCACTGTCGAATATAACAAAATTTAACTACTCATATCTTTTCTCCACTACATTCTAGTTCCCTCTGCTGCTCCTGTTAGTCCTAGTGTGGAAGAAACTTCCTCTTCCACCATCACTGTCGAGTGGGGAGAGGTGCCATGTATCCATCAGAATGGAGCCATCACAGGATACTCAGTCCAGTATGGAGTGATGGGGAGTGGGAACACGGAGAATATGGCTGTTGATGGAGCTACTGTGAATGAAAACCACCATATCTGGTCTGAATCCATCCACCACCTACTCCATTCAAGTGGCTGCAGTGAATGGTGAACTTATTGGACCATACAGTGCTGCAGTGGACCCGTTGACTAAAGGTATGTGTGTATCAGGTTCTACTGAATTTGGTTTACATTTGCTTTACCTCCCTAGTTGCTGTCCCAGTTCTGATGTCAGACTCCACAACAGCCACCTCCATCTCCCTCTCCTGGACCAGTGCTGGCTCAGAGGGAGTCATGTATGAGGTGGAGTGGCAGAGAGACACCTCAGTGGGCTGTACTGATGAGGACACAGGCAGTACCACTATCACTGGAGGTTCCATGACTAGCTACACCATCACTGGACTAGAGGAAGACAGTAGGTATGCAGTCACTGTGAATGCCTCCAATTCCCTCGGAGATGAAACAAGTAACCATATCACTGCAATGACAATGGTGGCTGGTGAGCAATGTATAGAACCATTTGAATGTGCTGATAGTTGTATTTCCCACTCTCTCACAGCTCCACTGAACACCTCCAATGTGACTGTGACTAGTACAACTCTTCTTCACCATCACTGTCCAGTGGGGGGAGGTGCCATGTATCCATCAGAATGGAGCCATCACAGGCTACTCAGTCCAGTATGGAGTGATGGGGAGTGGGAACACACAGATGTTGACTGTTAATGGAGCTGATATGACTCAGACGACTATTGAAAACCTCATGTCATCCACTACTTACTCTATTGAAGTGGCAGCAGTCAACAGTGCTGGTACTGGAGTGTACAGCGATGCAATTATTAAGGAGACAGAAGGTATATAAGAGGCCTAGCTAACAGTGTAGTGTGTATTGAATGTGAGTGTTAATTCTCTGTTTCCTAGAAATCAAACTGACGGTTTCACTTGTCTCTTCATCGGACACATCTCTCAATGTCTCATGGACATTAACCGAGGGAGTTAGCACTAACTCCTACACCATCTCCTACTCCAACACCAACACTGACTGTTTCACTAACTCCAGAAGTGATATCTCTGCTAGTGAGACATCACACACTCTGACTGGTCTAGAGGAGGGAACTGAGTATTATATCACTGTCACTGCCACTCTGACTGGAGGATTAGGCAGCGGTGCCGCAGGCACACTGACAGATGACAGACAGATGATGATGACAGAGGTCTCTATCACAGCCGATACAATGACTGCTGGTTAGTCCCACTGTAGAGCACTTTCATTGTCACTGCTCTATTTACACTCACAGCTCCATCTGCCCCTCCTACTGGTGTGGTCGTGAGAGTGAGAAGTTCCACTAGTATCACAGTCCAGTGGGGACCAGTGGAGTGTATACATCAGAATGGAGAGATAACAGGCTACAGGGTGAGGTATGGGGAGGAGGGGAGCAGCGAGGAAGCCAGGAGTATTCAGATGGTGTCAGGAGACTCCAGTGGAGGAATGACCACAGTGTCTGGACTGACTAAAGAGACAGTCTACACTGTGCAAGTGGCAGCAGTCACCAGCTCTGGTACTGGAGTCTACAGTGACCCTCTCACAGTTAAAACTCCTGATGGTGAGTAGATGACATGATCTCATGGTTACCTTTAGCTGCTTGTAACACCCACACAGATGTCTTCCTCAGTCTGAATGGAACTGTCATTCCCTAACAATGGCCTTTTGAATATCAGTGAAATTGGTTCCAATGATGACAACTGCTCTACTGTGTATCACTAACCGTCCTCTCTGGCAGTGCTACTACTTCTGGAGGAGACTGGTTTGCACCAGACAGGGATAGAGTAGATGGCATGACTGCAGTTCCAGGATTCGGCAGAAACAGAGGTCCTATGGTACTGAGACTGTTTAGAATGGGGAGTGGAACTCCAACAGAGGGAATATATCACTGTATAATAGAGGATAGTACACCCACAGTTTAAGACGGTCAATGTGGGTCTTTACAACAGTGGAGGAGGTAATAATAGAAAGGATTTGTAATTGTTTTTTCTAGTGTGATATTGGTGCAGGAGTCATTACACTGTCTGGAGGTGTGACTTTCACTTTGGACTCTGATAGTCAGTTCACCCTCACCTGTATCTCCACTGGTGGACCTGCTACCACTGTCACTTGGACCAGAGACTCCACCACTGTCACCCAAGGAACCCAGACTGTGTTGAATGACCCAGTGACTGCACAGTACACCCACACTCTGACAGTCAAGGGAAGACGGGAAGGAAATTACACATGTACTGTGGCTAACAACCGTCCTAGTCAGAGTTCAGCAGAGCTCACTGTAACAGGTTAGTCTAACCATAAGACTGATTGGAAATGATGCTTCTTCTCTCCCCACACCCCAGCTCCTTCTCCACCCACTGATGTCAGTGTGTCTCAAAATGGACTCACCAGTCTACTGGTGACCTGGACACAGTCTGAAGGACCTGGTGTCACTGGATACACCATCTACTACCAGTCAAAAGATGGAGAAGAGAGAAAATCAGTGATGGCAGGAGATACAAATAGCAGTACTGTAATCAAAGGACTAACTGCAGGGACAACATATTTTATTAGTATGGTGGCTAACTCCACTACACTACCTAGTAATGTGACTACTGGTCCTAATGTCACTATAGGTAATAGAGACTGCTGTAAATTTATTCACGATGTGTACAGATCTCTCTCCGTACAGAGCGGGCCAACATCACTCTCGCCTCTTCTCCCTCCCCCCCCATACTGGCTGGTGGCTCTGTCACTATCACCTGCTCAATCTCACTGCCCTCTGGAGTAATTGGTACTCCAGTACTCCGGTGGGAGGGGCCTGGAGTAACTTACTCTGCAAAAAATAATGGAAGTTTCTCGAGTAACCTCACACTCAGTAACATATCAACATCTCAGGCTGGAGTCTACTCCTGTACTGCCACTCTTAATGACGACTCTTCCTCCAACTCCATTACCATCACTGTCAAGGGTATGTACAGCTGAAGCTAACAGCAAACCTAGTAGGCAAATGTGTTTGCCTTTATGTATCTTTTTTCCCAATGTATCGTGTACATATATGCGAACTGTTTTTCCATGTGTGCTGCTGTTAACTACTCACCACCCCACATGCAGTCCAAGTCCCGATTCCAAGTACCATTGTCAGTGGCAGTCGAGTGGCTGGCGATCCTCTCACTCTCAACTGTAGTTATAGACTCAGCTCTTCAGTCAATACCGACACAGTAGAAAGAGTGACCTGGATGGTGAATGGATCAACCGTTGTATCTAGTGATACTTCCCTCACGTTCTCACCTCTCACTACCTCTGATGCTGGGGGTTACACTTGCTCTCTGAAAGTTGAACCCCAGACCAGCAATGTTACGGCCCAGAATCCTATGGAAAGCTCAGCCGAGGTCATCACTGTACAGAGTAGGCCCTTCTTTTTCTCTTAACTCTGTGTGATATGTCTTTTCCCCTCAGTCCCTTCACCTGATGTGACTGTATCTCTCGATCGTAGTGGTCCACTGTATGCTGGAACTGGTCTCAGTATCACATGTAGTGCCACTCTGGACCCTAGTGTCAACAATAAGGAACAAGTTTCCATTGATTTGTTAGGAGGTCGATTCTCAGCCTCTGACACTATGAAACTATCGGGCTACACCTACACTGCTAACCTCACTATCAGTCCTCTAGCTGAAGAAGATGATGATTCTACTTTCATCTGTACTGTGACTATCAATGGTGGGACTACTGTCATGTCAACCGACACTACTACCATTGACGTGATAGGTGAGTCTGTTTCTCAACTCTGCTGCGTGTAGATTATCTATACCCATCTTTCTTCTCCAGCTCTCCCCCAGCCAACAGTGACACTATCTCCAGACGTTGTAGCCCCTGTTGCTGCAGGCGAGACATACACTATGCTGTGTACAGTGGATGTGGTACCAGGTCTGGTGGTAGAGCCTCTTATTGAGTGGACCAGAATGGATGATGTGCTCAATGCATCCACCGGCTCTAGTCTACAGCTCAACTTTGATCCTCTGTATGCATCTAATGGCAGTATGTATACCTGCAAGGCCAAGGTCGTGATCAGCAATGTCGGTATTAATTCTGTCGGAGAGGCTTCAAGAAACCTTACAGTCAGCAGTGAGTTGATCACATTTGAAGTGTCCGATGGAAATGGTTACTATTCCTCTCTACCCAGTACCGAAGCCAAGGGTGATGATCTCCAGAAGTTACTCTGGCACAGTGTATGCAGGGACAGAGCTAACTCTGACTGCTGCTATTTCTCCCACTTCGACTAATGGAGTGGATGTAGGTGTAGCAGTGGAAGTCACCTGGACCAGAGGCAATGATGTAATAGGCAATAGCTCTAATACTGCGGTCTCTGCTGTCAGTGGGAGTGACTCCATCTACACAGCTTCTCTCTCATTCTCTCCTATCACCACTGCCAATGGTGGAGCTATCACCGCAACTGTCAGAATCTCACCTACTGCTCCATCGCCATACATTCAGACTTCCACTGCCTCTTATAATGACATGCTGGCGGTTCAGGGTATGTATGTGGTCTATATATGCAGTGAATTCACTCTTTCTCTTCCTGGTCCTCAGACCTGCCAGCTCCGAATGTGACTGTATCGGGAGTGAGTGAAGGGACAACTGGCCAAGAGATCACGTTGACGTGTACTGTGACTGTGGTAGATCATCTGGTAGTATCTCCAGAGGTCCAGTGGACTGGAGGCAGTGTGGGAGAGAATGCAGTGATACAGAGCAGTGTGACTACTTCCAATCAAGCTACTACCATACAAACCCTGACATTCAGTCCTCTGAGTACTTCACATGGGGCCAAGTACACCTGCCAGGCTGCAATTAACATTCCATCCATTAATGTTACCAGGAACAACAGTAACAGTACAGATGTGTTAGTTCAAAGTAAGCAACCGTTCTCATTGAGCTACTGATTTACATCTCCGCTCTCTCTCAGTCCCCAGACCAATGGTGACTGTGACTGCACCAACAAATTGGTGTCTGGCTCTGGTCTCTCCCTCAGCTGCTCCATCCAGCCTCCCTCTGTGGACACCTCCACCACTGTCCTCTCCAATTGGAGCACTCCTGGTGGTAGAAACAACAGAGTCAACGATGAGAATGATGCAAGTCCACAGTTGGTCATATCCAGAGTAGAGACAGCAGATAGTGGAGACTACAACTGCTCAGTCAGAGTGACTGGCTCAACTAATAGTCCATATATACTGGACAGTCCTCTAGCATATAATACAACAACGATCATTGTCAGTAAGTGGCTCTGTTAGGTCTAAATCATTCGTTCGTGTGTTGTATCATCTCATACAGAACTGAATGTGACTGTGAGTGCACTCTATGAACCAGCTCCAGGGGAGGTCCCTGGGGAATTGGGTCCTAATGAATTCACTGCAGGCAGTGATCTAACTCTCAACTGTTCAGTTGAGGGACACAGTGGAGCTCTGAGCTACATGTGGTCTCTCACTGGGAACCCCAGTACGCCATCTGGCTGTGGTAGTAAATGTAACATTGATACCTCATCCGCTACCTCCACACTTGTGGTGGGGTACCCGGAACTATTATCCTACTATGCTGGTGACTACACATGTACTGTGAGTGAGTCTGGAAGATCCAACAGTGGAAACAGTCATACCTTCCCTGTCAATGTTGTTGGTGAGCCTATCGTGTTTGTCATCTAATCTGATTGAATAATCACATACTTCAGGTGCAGGGATATATGCGCTAAGGTCTGACAGCAGTGTATCATCAGGTTCCATAGCCAACAATGGACTGATAGTCAGTAGAAGTGACGACCTGAGACTGGAGTGTTTCTCTAACTCCAGTATGGGTGGAGTGGGGAACATCACTACATCGAATGGGAGTATACTAACTCCTGATACAACTACTAGAACTCTGATTTTAACTAACCCATACCGTCGACCTGGATTTCTCCGTCTTCGATCAGTTGATGGAACATCACAAGAACGATCATCACGACCTCTTCCAGCCTCAGCCCAAGGAGTATACACCTGCACCATTCCTGATTCCAATGGAGATGTCATATCCCTCAATGTGGGACTCTATCCACCTGGCTTCAATGGTGAGCCATTGGAGTTTTGCTCATCAAACTTTCTCTCTTTTCCTCCACATACAGTGACTCCCACCATCACTAATCTCACCTATCACGAGGGCAATCATAGTCATACCCTCACATGTGTGTCCACTGGCTCCCCTGCCACCAATGTCTCCTGGACCAAGGACGGAGAACCTCTTACATCAGATTACACAATTTCTCAGACTGTCACTAACCGCAGTACCTCCACCTACTCCAATGTCCTGACAGTCAGTCCTGAAGGGGCTGCTGGTACCTACAACTGCACAGTCTCCAATGATCTGGGCTCTGACTCTAGTGTGGTAGTGGCTCTCGGTGAGTTATCACTTCATTTTTCTTGTTTCATTTTCATTACCATCACAACAGGCATTAGTGGGGATAGTCTCACTGTGGGGCAGTCAGGAACCATCAGCTGTAGAACCAACGTGATAGTATCTTCTTCTTTCTTGAATGGAGGAACGAGTCGTCTGTGCTGGCCAGTAGCAGTAGTGACAATCTCACACTGTTGGAGTATACATTTCCTCTAGTAACAGACGACCTACATGGAAAGCAGTACACCTGCACTGCTGTGGTTGGTGCTGATAGCTACAGAGAAACTGTTACATTGGTAGTGAAATGTACGTAAATGTCGGAAAATGATGTGTTTGTTAACATTTCTCCACTCATCCAGTGCCTGAAAACCCTGTCACAGTCACGGCAAGTGTGACTGATGTTGGTTCACCACTAGTTGGAGAGCCTGGTCCCACTCTGACATGTAGAGTCCATGTGACAACTGCAGGACTTACTAACACTCCTTCTGCTGTGTGGATGAACGTCTCTGGTCCTGTGGTCTCAGGAAATGGTGTCACTGTGACTGAGACTGTGGTGAATGATACAACTACCATCTCCACTCTCTATTTCTCCTCTCTGGTCCTTTCTCATGCTGGACTCTACCACTGTCAGGGCAGGCTAAGATCTCCAGCAGCAGAAAATGGAACCATTTCAATTTCCACATCCCCTATACCTGTCAGCGTAAGATGTAAGCAAACTTTATCACTGCTACAGATGTGGCTCAATTTCACAAAATAATGTTTTCTGCCTTCTTACCTGAACCACTTCAACTGGTTCCGGTAAGGAGATGGCGGGTTTACTGAAGAAGATGAAGATCGTGATGATGGCATGGAAATTGTGCATTAGCGAAGTCTTGCGTGGATAACTGAAGGAACTTCTGACCCACTGTTGATAGTGTGTTTTGAAGGTCTGGCGTGTCATTCTCACTGAGTTTTGAAGCTTTTTGTATGCGGGCGATCACATGAGATTTGACTTGGGCCCATCCTATGTCTTGAATTCCATTATTGTGCACAAGGCAGTTGGATGAAAAAAGCTTTTTTAACAGATGCAGTTGCATACCCAGTTGAGGCCTTTGAAGTAAGAATACATCGGACACCTCTCTCACATTCTCCTGGCGCCAGCCCAGTATTGGAGCCCACCTCACCACTGGCTACAACCTGACATGTGTCCCTCTCCTGACTGGGATCCCATCCCCCCAGTCTCTCCCCCTGTTAGCACCAACCCGGTCCTCAGCCACCCTGTCTGGGTTCTTCTCTGGAGTCCGCTACAACTGCAGCATCTCCACCATCTCCCAACGTGGATCCTCTCTCCCCCGTCTCTCTCACCCTATCCACCAATGAGACTGGTACATTGCTCTGTTTTGAACCTAACTAGCTTATTATGGCAAACTTGTGACTCTAACGTCGAACGTCTCACACAATTTGTGCAACACTTTTCAATACTGCTTTTTCCCTCACATGAGTTGTATGTGGGTTCAGTTTTGATTATGACATCACCAATTCTTAAACCCATCAGTTCCTTAACAGAATAGGTTGATGCACTACCTGTGCCAAGAACCTGTAATATTTAAAAATGTGTTTAGTTTCTTATTTCCTCACATTCTTTCTCAGCTCCATCGGGATCTCCTAAGATAGAGGTAGTCCCAGGAGAGAGAGAAGTTGTGTTCTCCTGGTCTCCTCCTCCTGCCACCCAGCGTAATGGAGTCATCACCAGCTACACCCTCTCCTGCTCCCCCTCCCCCTCCTCCCTCCCTCCCACCTCCCAGTCTGGACCTCACACAGTGGCCGGCTTCTCTCCCAACACTCACTACTCTTGTTCTCTAGTGGCCAGTAACACTCAGGGCTCTGGACCTCCTGCCAACATCTCATTCACCACTCAACAAGACTGTAAATTCAGTTCATATAAGTTTCAGGATGTATAGTAGGTATGGCTTTCAAACCACAGATTCCTTCTTTCAACTCCGTTTGGGTAAAGTTCCTACTTCTTGTTCTGAAGAAATTGTACGTTTCTTTCCTATGTTTTGTTCTTTCTACAAGACTCTTCTTACTTTGTTACAGAGTTCAGAGAGATCCCTGAAACTGGAGCACATTACTGCTGCAGTAGTGAAGGAGTAAAGTCATCTTGCTCAGAGTGTGGGCCAGAAATGATAGACAACCAGCTATTTGTCTGCTATCCAGAGTCTCCGTCGTTTCTGACGTATCGAGCCAGACTGGAGGGGACCTCTGAGACAGACAGTGGCTCCCTCGTCTCTCTGATAGAGGCCTGGGTGAGAGGAGGTGGGGCCAGCCTCATCCTGACTGGAGTACTGATGACCGTGGACTCCCACTGCTCAGTAGCCATCTCTTCTCTCAGTCAGCCACCACAGTGCTCTCCTTCTTCCACTCCTACTGCCACTTCATCTCCTTCCACTGACATGCCTCCTGTTGATAGAAGCAGTGATGAAGAACCTGCACAGGTTTCCGATGCTATAATTGGAGGAATCGTGGCAGTTGTTCTTATCGTTGCTATTACTATTGCTGTCATAACTTTTCTAGTCCTAAAGGAACGTCGTGGAGGGGCTTCACTGAGGAGTTCAAACAAAGCGTAAGTTGCTGAATGTTATATGAATGCAGGTTTTCGAGCTATTGGCGGTGTGAAGCATGAAAAAGTCACTTGATGTGTTCAAATTGAATGCAGGTCAGCAGTCACTGAAAGTGGTGTTATTCACACCTCAACCAACACGGCATATGGGAAGGTGGAACGAGAACAGGGATATGAACTGGTGGACTTCTCTCACGGAGAACCTCCACCTCCTCCAGCTGAACTGGAGGAGATGTATGAGGTTCCCTCATCCTCTGCCTCGGCCCCCAGCCAGCCCCTCCCTCCCATCCCTCCCCCTCCTATCCCTGAAACAGAGGAAGACACTCTTTATGATGCCATTCCTGGAAACCAGTGACTCTTTCTGAACGCAGAAAGTGGTGTCGAAAGTATGCATGCTGAATTTGGTCTTACATTTACTTGTTAGAGATAGTCTTTAGATAGCTAGTAGTGGATTAAATTTAGTAGATAACTACCACTGAGGTTGTTTAGATGCATTCACAGATGTGTGCTTGTCAATTTGCTGTTTTGCGCTTGATCATTATAATCACCGCTTTGTGAGGCTGAACTTCCTCCACTTTTCCATCTTCTGATAGAAGCGCACATCATCTGCATGGGAGAACCAATGAATAGAGTAACTCCTAGTGCCTGCCACTAGCCATGACACCCTAGCCAGATCATCTACGATTATCCTCGGGGCTGCTGGCTATTGAGCATATCATACGCGAATTTAGAGAATGTATGGAGGAGGAATAGGAAATCCGAACAAATACACTAGAAAATCACAAGCATTTAGTTGTGTGTTAAAAATCCCTAGCTATGCAGTGATGGGGTGTGTAAGGGCAGCAATTGTAGTATCCTCGTAATCACAGTTTATATCATGATCATTATAACTGACTTACAGTGAATATGCACGATACATATATCGAGGTGGGGTATACAGTATACGAAGGACCACGGGAATAACGGGGGATTACATACAGAATAATTGAGTGAGCATGCGCACTACATAATAATATTTGGGAATACATCACATTTCTTCCCACAAAGTTTCAATATAGCCTGTCTGGCGGCCTCCTCGTACGAGTTGATCGGCGAGGTTCCTCTGTTGCGATCTCAGCCCCACTAGACTCCTCTTCCTCAGCCCTGCCCCCAGCTTCTGCTGCCTCTACGTCACTCCCACTCACGACCGTGGTTGTGTCGCTTCCGTCTAGGGCATTGGGTGGCTGCTCTCGACCCCTGGGTTCCTCGTTCTGTTGTTGTGGCGGTGTCAACTCCCTCGTTGTACTGGGACCCTCCACAAATATATGTCCTCCACCCCACGTCTCCCCCTCCTGTCGGTTGCGTAGGTGGTCCACATGTCTGCGAAAATCCCGTCCATCCTCCATCTGCACCCGGTACGACACCGGACCTGTCCTGTCCTGAACCACTCCCGGCAGCCAAGTGGGGCCCCCTCCGAAATTCTTCACGTAGACCTTCTGACCTTGTTCCAGTTGTCGTGTTCGGCCTTGACTCCGGCCCTGAACTTGCTTGTCCTGTTGTGAACGGACTCTTTGGGCGGTATCCGGGTGAACCAGGTCCAGTCGTGAGCGCGGACGTCGATTGAAGAGAAGTTCGGCTGGAGACTGTCCAGTTGTGGCGTGCGGGGTGATTCGGTATGTGAACAGGAAACGACATAACCTTTCCCCTAGTGTTCCGGTGCGGATCCTTTGAAGACCACTCTTGAAGGTCTGCACTGCCCTTTCCGCCAGCCCGTTGGAGGATGGGTGATAAGGCGCCACCCGTACATGGACCACCCCGTTCCCCTCCAGGAACTCTGCAAACTCTCGGCTGGTAAATTGAGGACCATTGTCGGTGACAATCCTCTGGGGAAGCCCATGGACTGCAAAGATGTGCCTCAACTTCTCCACCGTGGCAGCAGTGGTGGTAGATGACATTGGTAGCACCTCGAGCCACTTGGTATAGGCGTCTACCAGCACCAGAAACATCCGACCCTGGAATGGTCCCGCAAAGTCTAGATGTAGGCGTGCCCAGGGTTCCCTTGGCCACTCCCACGGGTGTAGCGGGGCTGGTGGGGGTGCGTTTCGTGACTGCTGGCACTGTGGACAACTGTGGACTCTTTGTTCCAGGTCTTTTGAGATGCCTGGCCACCACATGTAGCTTCTGGCAAGGGCTTTCATGCGAATGACCCCTGGATGCCCCCCATGAAGCTCTTCCACCAACGCTTCCCGGCCTGGTCTGGGTACCACTACCCGTGACCCCCACAAGAGACATCCGTCGAGAACGCTTAGCTCTTCCTTCCGGCGGGAGTATGGCTGTAGCGCTTCCTCGCTAACGCTTGATGGCCACCCCCTCTTCACAAACCTCCGGACGCGTGCGAGCACAGGGTCCCTCTCTGTCCACTGTGCGATTTCCTTTGCGGTCACTGGGGAAGCTGTATCGAGGTGTTCTCGCAGGAGGTGAAGGTCTCCTGGTATGGGCACCCGTACTTTCTGGGGAAGCGGCAGTCGGCTGAGTGCGTCTGCATCTTGAACGTTTTTCCCTGGGCAGTACTCGATAGAATATTCATAAGCACTCAGTGTTAGTGCCCAGCGTTGTATTCGTGATGCTGCCATGATGGGGATCCCTTTTTTCTCCCCGAACAAATGTCGCAGTGGCTGGTGATCTGAACGAATGGTAAAATGATGCCCATAAAGGTAGCAATGAAACTTTTTCACTCCATACACAATGGCCAAACCTTCTTTTTCTAGTTGGGAATAGTTCCTCTCCGCTGGTGCTAGCGTCCTTGAGGAGAAGGCAATTGGCTTTTCGGTGCCGTCCTCCATTTTTGTGAGCCAAGACAGC